ACATTACGCGTTTCGGTTGGTGCAGGTAGGGCCCAGAGACAAACACGAACCCCTGAACCCTAAACCCCAAACCCGAAACCCTAAACCCTACCAAAGACCGAAGGTTTGGCTCTCAAGCAGGGGGCCCCTCCAGGCTTCGGCGTCTCTCGCCCCAAGCCTCAGCACCCAATCCTGACTCCATGGAGTCAGATGGGCGGTTTAGGGTTTAGGGTTTAGGGTTTAGGGGTTAGGGTTTAGGGTTTAGGGTTTAGGGTTTAGGCTTTCCGAAGACAGAGGGGCAGCTTATTTCGGGGCGCTTATAATAAGGATCCTACTATTTAGGGTACTACAGTACAAGCCCAAAAGTTGAAAACCCAATAGCCTCAATCCTTAAGAGTAATGCATAGGGAATCCCAGCACTAATCGTCCTTAATCCGGTTTCCAACTTTTTGGGACTTGCTATATAGTAAACCCTAAACCCTAAACCCTAAACCCTAAACCCTAAGGTCCCCTATTTTCGGACACCCCAGATCTGGAAGCCCTGCCATCCGCACTGGGGGAACTGTGCCCGCGCTTGCGAAACTGCGGCTTTTTCTGCAGGTTCAGGGTTGCGGGCTCAGGTTTAGATTCGTTTAGGGTTTAGGGTTTAGGGTTTAGGGTTTAGAGTTGAGGGCTCAGGGTTTAGGGTTTAGGGTTTAAGATTTAGGGTTTAGGGTTTAGGGTTGCCGCCTTGTCCAAACTGTCCCACGAAGCACGAGTCCGAGCCAGATCTTTTGACCTGTCCAGGGCCGCCCCCCCCAGAGACGAATTGCTGATGGCGCAGTCTGCAGATCCCGTCTTCGTTTCTCGGCAGCATAAAATAGGGCCTTAAGAATTAGAATAGGGATTGGGGGGTATATTATATTATTGTCATAATCAGGACCCACCAAAACAGTGTTGGTAATTGCTTAGGCCCCAACACATTATGCGGCAAAGAGGTTTTCTTTAAAAGAAACTTCTGCTGCTGGGTTCAGGGAACTAGGTATCAGTCTGGCCAGCCTGAAGAATTACCATAGAATTTTGGTGGTTCCTTGTTTGACTATTCTGTAATGTACCCCAAAACTCTGTCTTAATTATTACAGCAAGGCCCGTACATTAAACTTCCAGCCCCAGAAGCGCCATGGTCGGATTGATGAAAGGCCCAGTTTAAGTACAGATTCTCCGGTGTTTGCCATTTTGCTGTTGAGGGTTTAGGGGTTTAGGGTTTTAGGGTTTAGGGTTTAGGGCTTGGGGTTCAGGGTTGAGGGTTGAGGTGCTGGTTCCTACTTCGATGTGACTAACCAAGGAATAGGGAAATTGTCTCATGGAAAAGCGTCTGCTGTCATGGATGATATGGGTAGTTCCCAACAATAGATTCCCTTGTTGAATTCTTTTTATGGGGGCGCCGTATTATATTGGGGACGCAAAAAGGGACCCTAATTGAGAGGACTACCCATATTTTCATGACAAGATGCCCTTTTGCTCTCGGTGGAGTTGGACGGTTGTTCTCAAGAAGAAGACTCGAAGAACAAGGAGGATAACGATAGTACATATGAGCATCAAATGATCATGATGGTGATGATGGTGGTGATGATGATGACGATGATGATGATGATGATTATGATTTGAATGATGGTGGTGACGGTGGGTGATGATGATCACGGTGACGAATAATTGTTATGATGGTGATGGTGGCGATGATGATGATGATGATGGTGATGATCACAACGACGATGATGATCATGATGATGATCATCATCACAGCGATGGCAACGGTTCAGCCACCATCTCAGAAACTCAACACCTCCGCACCAAAGCAATCGTCCTTCAGAATGGCACATCGACAGCTGTCTGCTGGAAGATACATAGCCAATACATGCCAATACAGCCCTGTATCGTCGAGAACAGTCTTATTAAGGCCTGTAAATGTATGAAGAGAGTAAGCCCCACAACCCGTTTTAAAGCGAAAGGGGAGGCGCGCTAGCCCCATTAAAACGTGTGCGCACCCAGAAACGAACACCGCAATACAACCCTGTAGCAACATCGCGAAATCCCTTGTTGAAGCGGCGACGCTTGTTGAGGAAGCGCTGGGCCTTTGCTCAAACCAAATGCCAGAGCCCGCCCAGGAGCTTTCTGTCGTTAGTTAGGCACGAGAGTATGTTCGGGTGTTCTCGGTTTAGGGTTTAGGCTTTAGGGTTTAGGGTTTAGGGTAATTTTCCTAAGGGCAGTAGGACTGTTTAGATTTCGGGTTTTGAAGTAGGATTCGCACTTTTAACATGTCGTCTTAAGCTAGGACCCGGAGTAGGCCCTTATTTCCTTTTTTAGGGTTGGGGCTCCCTTATAATCCCCTTAAAACCAAAAAGGGCACCCTTTTCATTCCTAGGTTACTCCTGGGTCTAGATCAGTTCCATT